CCCTGAAGTCTAGGGGGAGGATGTGTGGCCATACGGTTCCTTCCTCCCCTGATCCCTAGGGGACTCTTCCTCGGGAGAGTCCCCTTGCCTAGTACTGGATGTCCGGCTTCGGCTGGGCATAGGGAACGGTGGTCCACCAGGCCTTTTGGCCAGGAGGACCAATTGGGAACCTTGTCCCCGTCAGGAGCTTCGTGCCCCGGGGGATCAGGGTAAGCGGTCCAAGCCCCTTTAGGAGTAGGACACAGCACACCCCCTAAGTGCACTTTTTCGTGTGGTGTTTTGCACTTGCACTTTTTTTGTGAACACTTACGGGTTTTTTTTTTCGTTATAGTTGCACGTTTGCGGACTTAAAAAAAAACAGGGAATCTTTCAATGGGGACACTAGTTCTGGTGACTCTGGTAAGTCCTCACTTCACAAGAATTTCTTCTCAGTTCCTGTTTTGGCTTTGAAACAGCAAGTGAAGGAAAATCTCCCAATCGGACACAGATGTAAAAAAAAAAAACAAAACAAAACTGACAGGGGTTATAACCCTCCTTTACTCTATTACAAATGAAAACAAAAATTGACTTTAGTTCTACTTTAGGGCTGATTCACACCAGCTGCAGTCCAAGGTGCTTTTATTTTGCATCAAAAATGCATGGACAGTGTTTCCCTTTTGCTGTCAGGTCCATACAGACCTGACATTGGGAGAGGTTTACACACAATCTGATGGCTGCAGCCTTGGGGATTGTGTGTAAAACTGACAAGCAGACTCCTACCTGTCAGGTGGCAACATTCCGGTGGCTGAGCTCCCACCCGATTGCTTCCACACACCCTCCGGTAATGGCGCTCCCCCTCCAATCCAGGTTCTGCTTGCCCATCTGTGGGCCTGGAACATGGCGGGTTCCGCTGGGTAGAGGGGAGGGAGGAGAGAAGTCACATGGCCACTCTCCTCCTCCCTTTTTGGTGACCCGGAAAGCGACGTGTATGATATCACTTCTGGGTCACCATGTCCGTAGCTAGCATAGCCGGGATACAAAAGGTGATAAGTGCAGGGATGGTTTAGTTTATGTATGCCCTGAATTTAAAAAACGGCTGGTATTGGGCCTACAGGATTGTTGCTGTGGACATAGTAAGGCTTCATGCATACATTTGCATTTGCCTTGCACTGTATGTGCACATAATAGTGTGCTTTACTAGATTGTTATTGCTAAATCCATATAAATAAAATACAATGGTAAAACATTAAAATACATGTAAACACATTAAAGGCTATGTTTATCTTTTAGAACATGTTACACGTTCCAGCTCCTGCCCCCCTCTCCTCCTAACTGCTTTCCCTGTGACAGTGCGTGGGGGTTCTTCTCCCTGCGGACACTGTCACATTTTAGAATTGGTGCAGCTGTGTGGGGCTCCACACAGGAATCTTTGATTGAATAAACTACAAGTCCAGTCTTCCACTGCAGCAGACAGCCTTTAGCTTTCAATAAACTGCGAGAATACTGATAAGTGCCCTCATTTTCCATTGACACTTCCTACAGCTCTGAAACTGACAGCCCATACAGAGGTACAGGCACAGAGCTGTAGGCAGTGTCTGTGGGAGCCTGACATTGCCGCCATGATCCACTGATCATTTCTTCCTGCACAAATGTGATTTAATCTTTTATTTTTTTCATAAAGGTGATCCTTTAAAACACACAGCAATGCTCATCAAAACCACACACAAAGCACAACACCACCTGATTTTCTGCTTTTCAACATGCTAAAGGTTTAAAAAAAAATGTGGATGTCAAAGCAAGGCGTCATCGTGTAGCAAAATATAAGAAATCATTAAAAACATTGTTTTGCTTCCCAAGTTGTATGTTTTCAATCTGCTTCTTTTATTGTACATGGGCCTGGTCTCCTACCTAGTACAAAGCTAATATTTGCTGGTTAGGGACATCTAGAAAGTATGGTGGAGAGATTATCTTCTGAAGTGTTTTTTTTTTGGCAAGGAAAGAAATCATTTCAGCTTCTTAAAATTTTTCATTTTGCTGCAAGAGTTTTAACTATATTGTGCAACTATAGCTGCTTGTCATTATTTGTAGTGAAATATTTTATTACTAGGCCGTATTTATCAAGGTATCTGAAGGAAGAGCTGTTTTAGATGTAAAAAAGTTTCTTTGCATAAGCCTGATGGAGTAATAGTACTTTCAGCTTTCTTTTAAGGCACATATCTACATTGAGTTTACATTATTCTCTTTAGTAAAAACACTTTCCTTTTTGACCATGAATTAAAAAAAATAGCTGCCCCATGTGATCTAAAGCAGCCTTTTTGAACCAGGGTGCCTTCTGACTTCTTCAGGGGTGCATTGGCAAAATGCCTAAAAATTGCAGCAAAATCCCCAAAAAGTGTCCACAGGCCAACAAGTGGATCAAGCCTGCCTTTTTCTTTCACAAGGCCACAGGTTTTATTGTGTAGCAATACAACTGGGCACCATTTGGGTCAGCCACTGGCATCCTAACAACCAATGTCATCAGTTGAAAAGGAGGACATTGGGCATTTGCACAGTATCTTTGTTTGCCCCTTCCTTGCCCCTTTGTCTCAGCACTGAGGTTGCAGTGAGGGCAAGAAAATGAGGGAGAAGAGAAACATTAGAATACTAATCAGTACCAGTTTGCAAAGTTGAAGGAATAAATCACCTATAATGTTGAGTGGCCCATGTGTGTGATGCTGCTGCGATATGTAAAACTATTATTTTAGTATTTTTACATTTTAACCTTGACTGAAAACAGGTTGAGAAACACTAATTTAAAGTATATGCATCCCAGATATGGTACATGTTTAATTTGCAGTTAGATAGATTGTCTAAAGTTGGCCATATATTCCTTTAGATTGTAAGCTCCATGAGCAGGGCCCTCCTATTCCTTCTGCACTGAAATGTATTGTAATTGTACTGTCTCCCTTTATATTGTAAAGCGCTGCACAAACTGTTGGCCCTATATAAATCCTGTATAATAATAATAATAGTACAATGGACAGAACATTTAAGTGTTTACATACAGTATTCTTAACAAGCAGTACTTACACTTTAAAACGAGTCCACTCTGACATCTGTAGCTGCCAGCACTGTGGAGCAATTCATCCTCAAAATTCACATTAAAGCATTCAAATTGATGTCTAAGGCAGCTCAGCCCCCCTACCTGCTCCCTACTCTGTAGTGATTTAGGAACTTTCTAATCTCCAATGGAAACACAGAGAAGGAGCTCTGAAGAGGGGAGCGGAGTGAACTATGCTGCTGAGAAAGCCAATTGTGTCTCTACAAAGCCGAACTCTGGGGAAAACAAAAAAATACCCTTGCAGCGGGGCTCCCCCCCTCCCAAGGGTTGAATTCCAAAGGCACCAGTAACAAAGACTTTTACTTACCTTATCCCTCGCACCCCCAGCGGCTAGAACTCAACTCATTGCCCTGATGCTCTAGCCTGTGGGTGGTTCCTCAGTGTCCTTACAATGCAGGGCTTTTGGCCCTGCCTCGTACTTGATGATGTCAGTGTTCCGGATACTGCTGGAGTGCCTAATAGAATAGGCTGTGGGGGCTGATCTTATAACATGGAGCAAGGGATTAGGTAAGTAAGGTTTTTTTTTTTTTTTCTGGTACACTAGGCATAAATGAGCAGTTAACCCTTACACTGCTGGAGAACCCCAGTGCAGGGGTATATTTTTTTCTTTGGCATTGAAGTGTTAAAGTATATCTTAGGACAAAATTAAACTATTATAATACAGGATGTACTGTTTTTTTTTTAGAGCCAACAGTTTTCACAGCTTTTTACAGTATGATGGAAACAGTACAGCTACAATACAATTCAATAGAGAGGATTTGGAGGGCCCTGCTCACGGGAGCTTACAATTTAATCGTAAACTAACCTTTTAATTTGGGATCCATTACTGTGCTACTGCCCTTGGAAGCCCCTTCCCAACATCTCTACTTCCTCATAGTGGAGAAAAGTCATGCCCCTCTCCCCGTCCCTCAACACAATTCCTTATGCCCAAGTGACCTGTCAGCGGGTCACATCATTGCCACATGGGGGCTTTGGATATACCTGTTCAAATACCAACTTTGAGAGCACTATTTGCATAGACACCTTGGAAGAGATCCAAGCTGTGCTGTAGTAACAGATTCTATTAGAAAAAGTATGTTCTTCAACTGTCTCATACAGAGCCTAGTTCAATTACCCCCAGGTTCAACTTCAGCCATTATTGTTAACACTGTTACTGTTTTCTGTTGGTTTAATTAGTTTAGAATGCAGAAATAATCAAGACAGCCTTTTAAAATGAATGTAAATCCTATATTCTTTTCTGCTTTCCTCTCAGCCTGTTTGTACTCCTCAGTAATAAATAGAACAAAACTTAAAAAAAAAAATCATTCTGTGCCAGTGAGCAAGCCAGTTAATTATGGCATTCGATGCAGTAATGCTATCCCAGCATTAGTCTTTTTTAGCCCGGTAATGGAGTGTGATAAATATGCTTTATTACTTCTGTTTTGTTTCTCGTCTTAAACAGTTGTTTTTGGCAGCTGGAAAAAAAAAGGTTTATGTCTTTTATTTTGTATAGTTCTGCATGCCAGTCTGTTTCTATCCAATAATAGCAGTCTTCCTGCACAGAAAATAAATGAATTCAACAAAACACAGGTGGAAAGCATTTTCTGCATAGGCAGAAAGGGTCATTCATGACAGCGTTTGCACTTTATGGTAAGATCTGAGGATTTGGGCACCTAGATCAAGTTCACCTCTGGCCAGTGTAGTAGCTTATGTTATAATCACAGAGTATGAACTACAATGGACATTTATTGTTAAATCAAACTTTTTTGGTATTCACTTTCAAGTTTCAATTGAAGTCTTTAAACCAAATGTGCTAAGCAAGTAGCAAAAGGTGTCAGCAAGTACCATTGTAAAGTCCCAGATCATTCTGTGCCCAGTGGAAGCACATTCTTTAGACTGTGGGATGGCTGAGCTCGGAGATAGAGAGTGAAGTTGAGGCCTCCAAAACTCTTTTGTGACCAGGGGTAACTGAAACCTAGATGTCCAGACCAAACATTAGCAGCAATAGTATACATCTGTTAAAGCTGAAGTTTAGGTTTGGACATTTGTGTCATGTCTGTGCCATACCTGTGGGCAGGGGCGGACTGACCATTTGAAAACTCTGGCACTGCCCGAGGGCTCGGGGTCAGTAGGGTGCCCCATGAGATGCCCCTGGCATCTTCTTCATAGGCTTTTTTGAGTTTGGGCAAGGACATGGGCCCCATGATCCCCTATTGCCCAGGGGCCCCATGAGTTGTCAGTCCGCCCCTGCCTGTGGGATACTTGTGGAAGCTAGAAATAACCGTAGTAGGCAGCACTAGTATATTGATCTCCACTAGCTTCTGGGCCCCATGCCTAGTGGCTGCTCTGCTACTTGCATTTTTTCACTGAATGCAAAGTTCTCTCTATTTGGATAAGGAAGAGATTGTGACATCACAACATCTCATCCAATCAAAGCACATTTTGCATTCACTAAGAATATGCAAAGTTTTCCCTTGATGCGACCTTGATGAGCATGAAACCTTCTGTGTTCACTATGAAACACTATTAATGTTTTAACCTCTTCTTGACTGCGCTATAGCCAAAAAACTGCTACAGCACGGTCGGTTAGTTCTGGGAGGGCGTCCATGGATGTCCTCCCAGAACCACACCCCCCCCACCCTCGAACACAGCTGATCGCGTGTCTAAGTAAAGGGCCAATCAGATCTGCCTTTTACATATTACCAGCTGTGTCCAATCACAGCTGATCACAGTGTAAATGGGAAATACCTCTCGCTGACAACGTGTGAGGAGAGAAGAGCCAGCAAGCGACATTTCTCAGAGGGACATCTACACTGATAATCAGGGCACTGCCAGTGCCCTGATGATCAGTGTAGCCCCATCAGTGTGGCCAATAGTGCCCAGCTGTGCTGGCTTTCAGTGCATATCAGTGCTGGCTATCAGTGCCTCCTCAGTGCTGCCTGTCAGTGCCCAGAAGTGCCGCCTATCAGCACAGCCTCATCAGTGCCTCCCTATCAGTGCCCATCAATGCAGCCTATCAGTGCAGCCTCATCAGCGCACATCAGTGAAGGAGAAAAATCACTTATTTACAAAACTTTATAACAGAAACTAAGAAAAACTTTTTTTTAACATTTTTTTTTGTTTGTTTAGCAAAACATAAAAAACCAAGTGGTGATTAAATACCACCAAAAGAAAGCTCCATTTTGTCTCAAACAAATGATAACAATTTAGTTTGAATGACAATTTTGCGGTCATGCAACATTGTACCCAAAGTGCGACAGCGCTGAAAGCTAAACATTGGCCTGGGCAGGAAGGGGGTAAAAGTGCCCGGTAGGCAAGTGGTTAATCCAGCAGGTCCCTGCAATGAAGCTATAGGAATATATGTTCATGTGCAGCCTAAGTGGCTACCATGGCTCACTCCATAGATACAGCGGGGTGTGTTAATGTAGCGACCCTAAAAAACAGGAAGTGTGTTATTTGCAGGATTATTAGGTAAACATAAAGGGAAAACAGCCTGAGAAAAAACACCCAATGCAGTCACCTCAGCTAAGGACTGGTAAACTAAAATATACATTTTTTTTGTTTTTGACTTTAGATATGACAAATGGGCAACATGGGTGTATCCTGAAATTAAAAAAATATTTGGCAAAATACCACACTGTAGTATCTGTATCATTTAAAATGAGGACAGTCCCAATTGACACAAGGTTGGAATAGACAGCAGCAAACCAAAAGCATATTGTACTTACATTGTTAGGCCAGGTTTGGACATTTGTGGATAAATCTTGTGAAACAACTGCACGGAAATAGGGGTCAGGGGCTATGAAAAGGAGTCATAAGAATTTCTGTGGCTCAGCCAACATGAAACCACTTCTCTTAGTTGACTGGAGGTCTGCACAGTCGTCAATTAGCTCCATATACTGTATAATGTAAACAGCGTGCTGCTCCAGACAGAACATTCTTTTTTTTTCAGTTTTTGCAGAAATAGCTACAACGCATGGATTGGAAAAGTACAAACAGAGTAATAAGGCATGATGTTCAAACTTAGTGTGACACAGGGGCGGACTGACAACTCATGGGGCCCCCGGGCAATAGGGGATCATGGGGCCCCTGTGTCCTTGCCCAAACTCAAAAAACCCTATGAAGAAGATGCCAGGGGCATCTCATGGGGCCCCCTACTGACCCCGGGCCCTCGGGCAGTGCCCGAGTTTCCAAATGGTCAGTCCGCCCCTGGTGTGACATCACATTTGACAGAAGCATAGTAACCAAGATTTATTAAAAAGAGAACAGTGAAAATATTGTTCTGTCTGATTTAATCAGAATTTCTAAGATACTGAGAACACATGATTTTCTTTAGTAATTGAACAGGGGTGTGGATTTTTTTTTTAAAAGACTACTTGGGGTCCCAATCTATTTGTCCCCCATGACAATCTACTTGTTCTGATTAAAAAAACATTTTTTTTTCCCAGGATGTAAAATATGAAGGGTTGATGCTTTTTATTAGGCAAAGGTGCTTTTAGGAATGTTTGGGGCTTTTAAAAACAAAAGGGGCTTTATGGCAACTTAAACTATTAATGTTTTTTTATTTTTTGCTAGAAAATTCCTCAGAACCCCCAAACATATATTTTTTGACACGAGGCCCTATAGAATAAAGTGGTGGATGTTGCAATTTTTTAATGTCACATGGTATTTGAACAGCAGTTTTTCAAACAAGATTTTTGGAAACAATATTTTTGAATTTTCATGCACAAAAACACAGTACATAAACCATTTTTTGGTAAAATATAGAAGATAATGTTATGCTGAGTAAGTAGATACCAAACATGTCATGCTTTAAAATTTGCAGGCCCGTGCAATGGTAACAAACAACATAAATTTTACTATCCATAGGCAACGCTTTAAAAGCCTTTACAGGTTTCCACTTTAGACTTACACAGGGAATCTGGTGCTAGAATTACTGCCCATGATCTGATGTTTGTGGTAACACCTCTCATGTGTAGGATGATTGCTGTTTGCGTGCATGCAGGACTGATGCATACGTTTGCCTTTGCGCAGGAGTACGTCGAGATGGGGAGTGCTTTAAATAATTTTTATTTTTATGCTGTCGCTTTAATTTTTTTTAATCACTTTTATTGATGTCACAAGGAATGTACATCCCTTGTGGCAGCAAAAGGCACAAGGTAAACTATATGTAAACATACCTCTTGCTGCTTGTAAAAGTGATCCAGCGGCTAGTTATCTGCTTAGATTGCTTTTACAAGAGAGCCGACCACTAGCTCTAAACCCTGCTGCTTGCCTGCAGCAGGGATAAAGAGTATGTTGAGTTTTAAATTCTCCATATAATCGATCTACTGCATGCTACGAATAGGAACTAAAGCCTATGCAAAGCAGCAGATAATATCCCAAGCTGTATACTGTATGCAATATTGTGCAGATCATGATAAAGTGCTATGATCACTTTTCAGAGTGTGAATAGCTTTTCCTAAGCATCCAGGGGAAGTGGCAGTGTTTACATCTGTTACAGCCTTTCCTGTCATTCCATGTGACAGCAAATAGACCATAAAATAACAGACAATCAGTGAAGACTGTTATGCCAGTCTATCCATGTGCCACTAGAACAGGGACCCTAATAGCTCTCAGAAGGTAACACTGTGTCCACAGTATTCATTAAGCAGTGATAGGGAATATGACTTTAAATTGACATCCAGCTCACACCCTCACAGTCACTTCTGCTGCCCTAAATGTGTCAAATGCACCACTGCTGAGTAGAATGGTGTTTACCCTTCCTGGGATGCAAGATGGCGTTCCTGCCTTTGTAGCTGTGGTCCGCTCACTGACAGTCATCTGCTGTCATTGCATAGGCTGATGGAGGTCACTTTCTGTTAGCTGTTGAGTTGAGCTAGACTTTGTGAGCTGCCAGCATACTGTTCAGTGCCCTCTGCATATAAAAACATTTGGTGTGTTTGGTGGGGATTAGAGTTGTTGATAATGGTTGCAGAACGACCATGTTAACTTGAATGGAACAGTTCTACAGCCTGTCAACTCAACATGCCCTGTTAAATTTGCCACAGCATGTGAACAGCCCCCTCCAGCTCTATTTTAGACTTTAGGTGGCAGGCCAGGGGGTGGTAAAACTGCAGCTCTGCCACCTGTTTTTTTACCACCCCCTGGCTGCCTGTATGAATGAGGATTTAAAGGATAAGTTCACCTTTCATAACATGTTACATCCATATTCAGGGTGTAACACGTAACATGTTATGAAATGACTGCATCCCCTGATCCCCTGCTTTGACAGCTAACTGGGGATCTTCTCCCTTGCTAGCTGTCAAGATTTTACAAAAATGCGGCCATGTGGGGTTCCGCCCATCCAACAGCGTCACTCATTCACAGTATTTTGTGAATGGAAAGATTACAACTCTCGAAAGCCTTAGTGGCTGTTGGCTTGATGGCTCTTTTGAGCACTGTGGTAGTTCATTGATTCTTCCTGTCAGTAAATATATGCAGATTTACTGACAGATCTGCAGAAGACCTGCATGGCACCAGCAATCTGCTGATTGCTGGTGCAATGCTTTACAAGCTCCTACAACACAAAAATGCAAAAAAAGTATTATTTTTTGTTGAAAGGTGAACTTATCCTATAAAAGAGGGCAAAATTATCTGTCTGCAATCGCTGATCATTTAAAGACAAATAGATGAGTGTGCATTTTGTTCTTTGCGCACTCCTGACCTCCTGAGCTCTGTAGAGTACATATCCCTGAACTCCACCTCACTTACTACTGACCCCAGTTTCCCACCCTTCTGACCCTCTGTACACTGCCCTACAAATTAATAGCCGCTGTACACTGCAGTACAAAATGCTTGCCCTATCCTCTGCCCTGTCAACCCCTGTACACTGCCCTGCTGACTTCGATCCTGTGCCCCCCTGACATTTTTTACTGCACCCCCACATTAGACAGGCTAGATCCGGCCCTGTATAATATCTGTAAATTTTTCAGTGAAGCTAGTAGCAGTTAGTGCCACTTTAAGTCGTGCCTTGGGTCACACAGTAGCAGAATGTGAAATGGCCTTTTTACTATGGTGGAGAGAACTGGGAAGAGATACAATGTGATACTGCATCCTATCTCTGACCACACTTGGAGAGTTTAGAGAGATTGAAAGAAGAATGTCAACAAGTGGTGAAAGATTAGTTGACCACTCCTCATCTTCTAGACTCTAGACACAAACACTGTATGCTAATATCTTTATGTACTTTGATGCTTTTTTTCTTATCAGCATTGATAAGAAGGCCAAGTTTGGGTGGATTCCAAGACAACACTTGGAGCTGTGTGCCCTTTTTTTTTATCCACCAGACCATACATGATAACTGAGCAGATACTCATCACAGAAGAAGTCTAACATCCTGGAGACTGCAGTAATTCATGGCTACTGTGAGATGTAGCATTGCAGATAGAACGCAATGCTTGTAAATATTGTACCACATCTGGAGCTACTGCTATCTTATATTGAAGTCAGATGATAAGATTGTAAGACCCTTGTAGGCCTTTCATCTTATGAAGCTAGCATCCTTATTTCCAGGCATGACATGATCTTTGCCAATGTGAGGAACATTGTTTAAAATGAGATGCTGACTGGCTAATTCCACATGATAGTCAGCACCCCAGAATTATTTTCTCAGTTAACTAGTCAGGTATGGGAATGTACAAATTTACAGGAAATCTTTAACATGTATTTACAGTGTGGCAGTGTGTGTATATATATATATATATATATGTGCATGTGTATATATATATATATATATATATATATATATATATATACATACATACATACACGTATTATAGTAGGTGTATGCACTTTTGCAGGCCTTTGTTTTCTAGTCTGGCACATATAAGGGTTGATTTTCTAAAGGCAAATATGTTGTGTTCAATTTGCAAGGGAATTTTTCCACAGGCACTGTGGCTCTTTTTTTTAAAGCTCACAATGAAAAAGTTCTATAAGTTGCACCTTAGCTCTCCTTGTAATATTAATTATAGCTATTGCAAACCTACTGGTTTTTTTCTTTTAGATTTCAGTCTGTTTATTCAGTTTTATAAAGGGAAGTACAAAACACAATTGAGAAGCGAAATGTACAAAGTGTACACAATAAAAAACACAAGTTCAGCACGATCAAAATATTTATGGGCAATATGAGGTAAATGAGGCCATAGCGAGTCAAAGTAGTTAAATATCCTGCAAAGGCAATATTTTAATGGGGTAAAGAAAAAAAAAAACCCAAAACAACCCCATATGTTGACTCCTAGGACAAAATGTCCCTTATGGAGGCCAGCAGCTTACAAGATGCAATTTTGTTCAATATGTTACATATGGAAGGTAATGAAAAGAAGGAGGAAAGGAAGCAGTCCAAGAAGGCGTTCCCGAGTAGTGTGGAGGGTGTTCTCAAGGTCTCTTTAGTTTGTAGACAGGTATCAGATCTATGGATCCCACGTCTTACCAAATTTGGCTTGGTTGTTGTGGAGGGTGCATGTGAGCTTGTCATTGATCATGATCCCGTCAAGTTTGTGTTTGACATAGTGGAGTGTCACCGTATTCTTGTTCCAGCATCTCACAATGGTGATTCTCACTTCCAGAATCATGTAGGAGATTAATTTCTTGGCTGCCAGCCTCTCTTGCCAGTTTCCTCCTGGCTCTTTCATCCAGTTTGGAGAAGCCTCCTGATCCAGGGAGGGTCTGTGTTGTACCAAATACCTTCCACTTCTTAATAATAGGCTTTACTGTGCTTCTAGGCATTGATAAAGCCCTTTATATTTTTTTTTGTATCCATCTCCTGACTTGTGCCTGTCCCCACTTTATCCTTAAGATAGTTTGACAGTGCCTTGCCACTCATAGTTGATTGTTTGCTTCAGTTGCTCTATCAGGGATTGAAATGCTCCAGGAAAGCTTTTTTCATGCTGAGATAATAAAAATTACCACAGCTGATCACAGTTGAAAGTCAAATGGCTTTGTGTAGGCTTTGTGCTTTGAGCAGGTGATTACCTACACCTGGATTTACAAGTCATTTTCGGAGGGAGATGGTGATCCAGCACTAGGTCTGCTTTAAAATCTGGGATACCTTGACTCATTACTCATCAGTGAACTAGTGCTGGTGATATATTTTTATTTACAAGCATACCCTTATAAATAGTTCCTTCCATCAGAATGTTTCTTGCATTACAACACAGACAATTGGCTCCTGGTGCTGGAGCAAGGGAGCAATCAGTGCGCCAAAAATAGAAAATGAGAAACACACTGCTACATCAAGTAAAACAAATTCCAATTTCTTTTTCAAATACATCCATAGTAAAAAAGAATATGAAAGAATAGATAGGCCCTATAACAGATTAGCACAGGAAGCTGGTCAAAATCACGGGGAAAAGGCAGAGATGTATAAAATGATTATCTCTTCAGTTTTTACAGATGAAACAAATGGGTTTGATAGTCTTAACAGCACTAACATGATATTTCACAAAAGGTACCTCTGTGTTTGACTGAAAACCAGGTACAAAAAAGACTAAATCACAAGGTCCAGATGGCGTACACCTGGGAGTCCTTAAGGAACTTAGCTTAGTTATTGACAAACTATTTTTAATTTTTAAACAAACCTTACTGATCAGAATGATCAGTAACTGACTGATGTAGAGCAAATGTGGTACCAATTTACAAAAATGGATGGAAATGTATACAAGGAAACTACAGACCTGTCAGCCCAATAGCATGTAAGGTATTTGAAGGAATGGTAAGGGACTCTATACAGAAATGTGTCTGCAGTAAAGGTATCCTAAGTGACAACCAATATGGGATTATGAAAGCTTGTTCTTGTTAGCCCAACCTGATATCCTTGTATATTAAAAGAGAGGTATGGCCAAAGCTTTTTTGGCCATACTTCTTTTCTGGGTCACAGGAGTGCCCTTATTTCTGCACTCCTGTGAGCAAGATTCAGCCAACAGTGGGCTGCTGGTTGACATCATAGAGCTTGCCGAGGCTCTGGAAGGATCCCAACTTTCACTGCTTGCTGCCCACCCCCAGTACATGTACTGCACAGCCAGGCTGGATGCTACACATATACATCTTCCAGCTTCTTCTGGGTCCGGGGGGCACACACGCTGACCCACGCTGTCACAGGCTCCAGTGCAATTTTGTCAACAGATCCCAACCAATGATTTTGTCCATGGACCTGCTTATTGGCTGTAGCCAGTCACAGAAAAGAGTCCTGTGTTTAAAAATACACAGGACTCTTTACACAGGCTGCGATCAGGCTGTTTCTTTTTCCTAAAAAGCAGGGAGTAAAAGAAGTACATATTACACACAATGCACTTGTTGAATACACAGTGTCATTAGTACAGTGAAAGTGTACAGTATTTTATCTGATCACTGTATTAGTGGTTCCTAGTGATGCCCCAGTGTCAGTCAGTTGGTGTACTTCCCATGGAGAGTCTGTTACAGGGGCGGACTGACCTTTTGGAAACTCGGGCACTGCCCGAGGGCCCGGGGTCAATAGGGGGCCCCATGTGATGCCCCTGGTACCTTTTTCATAGGCTTTTTTTGAGTTTGGGCAAGGACACAGGGGCCCCATGATCCCCTATTGCCCGGGGGCCCCATGAGTTGTCAGTCTGCCCCTGGTCTGTTAGCACCAGATTGCCAACCACACTATCACAGTCTCAATAAAAGCCGCAGATCGCTGCCATTACTAGTATACAGTAGAATCATAGCTCTGTAAATTCCAGTATATATACCATTGTTTGTAAATGCTATCATTTTCACACAAACCAATTATTTTTATTCTTCTTATTATTATTATACGGGATTTATATAGCACCAACAGTTTGCTCAGCGCTTTACAATATAACGGGAGACAATACAGCAACAATACAGTTCAATACAAGAGGGATAGGAGGGCCTGCTCCTTGGAGTTTACAATCTAGGAGATTAATTTACACTTCTTGGGATTTTTATTTTACCAAAGACATATAGTAGAATACAGTTTGATTAAGTAGAAAATATTGTTTTTCTTTTTGTCTTTTCATTTATATAATACATAAAAAACCCCGTTGTGATCAAATACCACCAATAAAGCTACATTTGTGTTAAAAAATTATATAAATTTCATTTGGGTACAGTGCTGTATGACTGCGCAATTGCACAGTGCTGAATAGTAAACAAATTCTGAAGGGGGTAAACCCTTCTGGAGGTCAAGTAGTTAAGGTCGGGATCTACCCGGATGCCTGCCTAACAGCCAGCTTAGCCTCTCTGCATGCCACTGAGAACCTGAGCCAGTCTGTCATGCCCTCTCCACAGCCCAGCTCTCTAGTGAGTTCTGGATGGGCAGAGCACAAAGCTGGTGACTGACAGTCACCAGCAGGAGCGGACTGACCATTTGGAAACTTGGGCACTGCCCGGGTCAGTAGGGGGCCCCATGAGATGCCCCTGGTACCTTTTTCATAGGCTTTTTTTGAGTTTGGGCAAGGACATGGGCCCCATGATCCCCTATTGCCTGGGGGCCCCATGAGTTGTCAGTTCGCCCCTGGTCACCACTCAATGCTCAGTGAAGACTGAGAACTGAGCGATCAGTGGTCATGTCTTACAGCTGGGGGGGGATAGCTGCAGCATCCAACCAATGCCGCAGCCACATAAGTGAGTATGTGTGTTTTTTTTTTTTGATAACCCACACTTCTCCTTTAATCTAGACTTTGCTAAGGTATTTAATACTGCAATGTGTGCAATTAATAGAGCATACTGCACATGTGCGAGAGACATCAGCTAGCTACTAAACAATGCACGTTTAGGCTGTGTTCAAGGTACGTGCAGGTAAGACTTCTCATAAACTTACCCGTAGGGCAGACTTTAACATTTTTTCTAGTGGCCTGACAGTAGCAGCTAATACTTTGTTGGTGTACAGATTATAGACCTTTACCAGGTCACAGCACATATACATTACTAGCTACTGTGTATATATACTGCACACAGATTTATTTTTGTAAATGTTTATATACAGAAGAAGAACATTTTTGGCAGAAGACAATTCTGACATTTCAGGATATACAACAGAAACAACACATTCAAGTTCAATGCAGTGAGCAACACATGGCCAGATTGTAAGAGTTTATTATTCTGCACAGAGAATCCTATTTGTTAATGTATTTTACTTGGTGCATTCCAAGTTTTCTCATCAGAATCCTGTTCCAATTTATTTTTAACCCAAACCTGGAGGGATTTAGGATCTAGCCTTTATGCTTAAGATATGTCACTTATAGGATTACCTCGAGATCTCCAGATAAGATCTGACATAAACTTGGCAAATTTGTAAAGCACTCATAACACTGAAGGCTCAATTATCTCATTTTTAAAACATTACATATTTTTATCTTGGCCAAATGGTTTTCAAAAATAGGTACACACAGACCGAAGATCCTGGAACAGGAAGAAAAGCTGTATTTGTCTTGCATTTTTTTTTACAAATGCAACGTAATGCATTTACTATTCTCATAAAAATTGTTGTTTTTGGATTGTCTGTAGCAGAGTTTTCCATTAGACATGCTTTTAAACATAGTGACTAATATATGGCCAGTCCACCTAAAAGTGCAATTTCAGTTACAGGTGAATCTGGGTTATATAGTCAGTCCCTGGCTTGGTACAACCCTTGGTGCCATCTCCCTGCTGTAGTTTATGGCTCGGTTACTGTCAATCTCAAGGGCTTGAGGCTTTCCAGACACCTGGGGGGGGGGGGGGGGGGGTCCCACTCCTCCAAATGATAAAATAAACTTAACATGTTACTAAACCCACAACAGCAAAATCAGTCTGTATATGCAGTAAAACATGCTTGTTATACTCACTGTGGAACCTAAGGGATTAATCCTCCACATTGTGTAAAAAGGCTGTTTGATCATGTATTCTCTGATCTTCCCCTTCTTTTACTGTCCCCAATCTATCTCCTTATAGAACAGAGCCTTCGGGGCAAGCTGCACATGCTCAGTTTGGTGTGAATTGCTAGAGAGTTTTTTTTTTTTTTTGGGAGCTTGGCAGAGTGCATGTGATCAGTACAGGGCCAATCAGCACTGTCCAGACAGAGGGTTAGGGGTCCTGCAATCCGAGGAGAACAAAAACGCCTCCTAGAAGCTTTAACCAGTCCTCTGCTGGACACTGATAGAAGTCACAAGACTGCTCTAACTGCTGATGAGAAAAGGTATTGGGCAGTTTATATTTAATAAAATAATTGCATTTCCATGTTCTGTGTACTGTGGGAGACCAGATATAGTGAATGCAGGGTCCTGGGTTTAGAAACACTTTAACCACTTGCCGTCCGCCTGCTGTTTTTAAACGGCAGGGTGGTGGCACTCCAGTGGCGGGTTGCCGTTCATAAACGGCACCCGCTATTTCTAGTTGTGCGCGCTCCCTGGGAGCGCGCAGCACCGCGATCCGGTGCCCGCTGTGTCCTCCGGACACAGTGAAACACCGATTGTCGGATGGGACCTCTGTACGAGGTACCGATCATGTGATCACTGATTGGCCAATCAGTGATCACATGCAAAATAGTAAGCAAGATCTCACTTCTGACATCATTGCTTACTACGTGTGAAATCTGTGAATGATCACAGAGGTCACATGGTACAAGGCTATTCACAACAGCCTTGTACCATGTACCAAGCTCTGACCAATCACAGCTCACACAGTATTTCTCAATGGCTGCAAGAATGCAGACAGAGAAAAAGAGAAATGATTGCTTTTACATCCTATATGGGTGTAAAAGCAGTCACCGTAAAAAAAAAAAAAAAAAAATCTTCATCACCCCCCACAAGTAGTACAGTGTCACCATGGTGACACTGTACTGCTAGGGTGACGGTATGTAAAAAAAACCAAAAACATAAATAAATAATAATATAAAAAAAAAAAAACAAAATAAAAATGTAAAAAATTTTTTTAAAATTATAATTTTTGGTTATAAACTAATTTGGCGTATCTTTTTTTTTTTTTTTACTAAAAAGATAACGGAATAAATTTTGGCCAAGATTTATGATGAAATATTATTTATTTGCAAAATTTTATAAGAAAAACACTTTTTTTTCAAAATTTTTTTACTTTTTCATTTACAGTTGCAAGAAAAAGTATGTGAACCCCTTGGGATTACGTGGAGTTTTGCATGAATTGGGCATAAAATGTGCTCTGAACATCATCTAAGTCACAACAATAGAAGAACACAGTCTGCTGAACATAATACTACACAAACATTAGATGTTGCCATGGTTTAATTGCACATAACATGTAAACATTCACAGTGCAGGGAGGAAAAAAGTATGTGAACCTTTGGACTTAATAACTGGTTGACCCTCCTTTGGCAGCAATAACCTCAACCAAACGTTTCCTGTAGTTGCAGATCAGACCTGCACAACGATCTGGAGTAATTTTGGACCACTCCTCTTCACAAAAACTGTTTCAGTGTAGCAATATTCTTGGGATGTCTGGTGTGAATCGCTCTCTTAAGGTCATGCCACAGCATTTCAATCGGGTTGAGGTCAGGACTCTGACTGGGCCACTCCAGAAGGCGTATTCTGTGCTGTTGCAGCCATTGTTTTGTTGAATTACTTGTATGCTTTGGGTCATTGTCCTGTTGCATCACCCATACTCTGCGGAGCTTCAGTTGGCGGACAGATGGTCATACGTTTTCCTGCAAAATGTCTTGATAAACTCTGGAATTCATTTTCCCATCAATGACAACAATCCGTCCAGGCCCTGAGGCAGCAAAGCAGCCCCAAACAATGATGCTCCCTCCGCCATGTTTTACAGTGGGGATGAGGTTTTGATGTTGGTGTGCTGTGCCTTTTTTTCTCCACACATAGTGTTGTGTGTTCTTCCCAAACAACTCAATCTTGGTTTCATCTGTCCACAGTATATTTTGCCAGTAGTGCTGTGGAACATCCAGGTGCTCTCTTCGCAAACTTCAAACGTGCTGCAATATTCTTTTTGGACAGCAATGGCTTCCTCCATGGTGTCCTCCCATGTACTCCATTCTTGTTTAATGTTTTCCTTATTGTAGATGTGTCAACAAAAATGTTAGCATGTGCCAGAGATTTCTGTAGGTCTTTAGCTGACACTCTGGGATTCTTCTTTACCTCATGCAGCATTCTGCGTTGTGCTCTTGCAGTCATTTTTACAGGACGACCCCGCCTAGGGAGAGTAGCAACAGTGCTAAACTTTCTCCAATTGTAGACAGTCTGTCTTATCGTGGACTCATGAACATCAAGGCTTTTGGAGATACTTTTGTAACTCTTTCCAGCTTCATGCAAGTCAACAATTCTTGATTGTAGGTCTTCTGAGAGCTCTTTTCTGCGAGGCATGGTTCACATCAGACAGTGCTTCTTGAAACCAGTAAACCCAAAACAGGTTTGTGTTTTTTAAGGGCAGGACAGCTGTCAGCAACACATCCAATATCATCACACTGATTGGAGTCAAGGTTGGCTCACTCCTGGCTCCAATTAGCTCTGGGAGAAGTCATTAAGCTAGGGCCTCACATACTTTTTCCTCCCTGCACTGTGAATGTTTACATGTTATGTGCAATTAAACCATGGCAACATCTAATGTTTGTGTAGTATTATGTTCAGCAGACTGT